AAAGCTCTCTAACAAAGTTGAAAACGCGTGGAGGTCATCATCCCAGCTACACATTTTTGCCGACAAGCGTGGGTGACAAAGCCGCAATCTCGGCTTTTCAGATAACGCGTGCAACTTTGTCAAAAGCTCTCTGACAAAGTTGAAAACGCTTGGAGGTCATTGCCGCATCCGCACTACTACTTGCCATTACAATTCCTATATACGTCAACATTCATGGCAAGGCATACACCCAAAAACGCATGACTTTCCTTCTCGGGCGAGAATGTAGCTGCAACCAAACCTCTCAACATGCTTTCTTCTTCTCTTGAGAACACCTATTCAACCATTGATGTACCCCCAAAGAAGATACCAGATGCCTGGAGTACAGATGAGGCAAGAGGAAACGGTGGATCGAAGCATGTGGAGATAAGCGCAACAAATATATGTGCTGATTCATTCGCTGCTTCTTCAAAAGCAAAAGTATCTCATATCATTAAGGGCGAAAGCAAAGGTATCTCATATCATAATCTTTCCCTGTCTTTTCCTTTGTCCTTGTTATTACTCGCATGGCAAAGTGAAAAGAGCAATCAGCCGGCACTTGGAGTCAGTCTTCCGATCTGGAACCGACTACCTGGAATCTATTCCCTGGTTGCTTACCTAGCGTTGCTCTCGAGTAGTCATCTTCAACGGTTGATACACTTCTAGAGAAGGGACCATATCTGCTTGGAGAACAGCTAAGACGAGTGACAATGAAAAATCATTCTAATTCGTACTCTTCAATACGAATTGGAAAGATTGAACAAAGAAACAGGTCATCACCTCCACCTCGTGCTTGCCTGCCATGTGTTAGAATCCTCCAGCCCAGTTCAAGATTAGCCTGTGGAAAATCAACGATTGGAGGAAACCAGAAAATCTTCCAGTCAAACTCAAGAAAATCTTCCAGAGGCACCTTTTTCCTGCGTCATCTAGCGTTCCACCAATATTGAGGCCTCAAATGATCTATCTTCAATGCCTCCCGCTCGGATGCCTCCCGCTCCTAGAGTTTTGCCACGTAGTGGGGCTTCACGTAAACAACCTTTGTGAAGGCTCCATCTTTCACTCTTTTTTTTTTTTTTTTTTTTTTTTTTTGGAACTTGTAATTTCTCGGAGATCAATGAACATGCTTTGTTTTATTTGTACCCGTTTTGCTTATAAGTACAAAATAAATAAATTTAAATCTACTCAGTAAATACATATATGAAAACAATGAATTGATTCGATCGTCAATTTAAAACATTTACACAAGTGGATACCACAAAAGAAAAAGGCAATGCAAGAACCCCAAAAGAAAAGCAAAAGGCCAAAACCTAAAAAAAAAAAAAAAAGGACTTTGCGTGACGTAGGTACATTTACGTTGCGCAAACCTGTTTTGCGCGACGTAGTTGTACATACGTCGCGCAAAGTCTTTTTTTTTTTTTTTTTTTTTTTTTTTTTTAAAAACCCGTTTTGCTTATAAGTACAAAATAAATAAATTAAAATTTACATTGTAAATACAGATACCATTGAATTTGATAGGAAATGCATTGTACGAAACTAATTTCAACGATCCAACCGTTAAACTTGTTTGTATATACTTGGAGATCTTATACGTCAAAAATCGCAAAAAACAAACATGCACATATTAAGTAACGGGACAAACCTTTTCGACGACTGTAAACGAAAAATCACGATTTAACGGTTATATTAACTCTGATTTTGATGATTTTTTACAGCTATACTGTTTAACCCTATATGAATACAATGAACAGATTCGATCGTCAATTTAAAACATTTACACAAGTGGATACCACCAAATAGTATATTATACTTAATGGAAGTATAAATAAACTCTAAGTGTTAGTGAATCTAATGTTTTGATGGGATACGCATTGTACGAAACTAGTTTCAATGATCCAACCATCAAACTTGTTCGTATATGCTTTGAGATCGCATACGCCAAAAATTGTAAAAAACAAACGTGCAAAGATCAAACAACGGGACAAACCTTTTCGACAGCTATAAACGAAAAATCACGATTTAACGGTTATATTAACTCCGATTTTGTTGATTTTTTACAACTACACTCCTTGATCTTGTATGAATGCAAGAAACTCATTTGATCGTCGATTTCAAATATTTACACAAGTGGATACCATAAAATCTTATGTTATACTTGATGAAAGCATAAATATACTCCAAGTGTTAGTGAATCTAATGTTTTGACGCGATACGCATTGTACGAAACTAGTTTCAACGATCCAACCGTCAAACTTGTTTATATATGCTTTGAGATCGCATACGCCAAAAATCGGAAAAAAAAAAAAAAACTTGTAGAGATCAAATAATGGGACAAAACTTTTCAACGGTTATAAACGAAAAATCACGATTTAACGGTTATTTTAACTCCGATTTTGATGATTTTTTTACAGCTACACTCTTTAACCCTATATGAATATAATGAACTGATTTGATCGTCAATTTAAAATATTTACAAAAGTGGATACCTCAAAAGAAAAAGGCAATGCAAGAACCCTAAAAGAAAAGGAAAAGGGCAAAAAAACAAAAAAATTAATAAAAAGGGACTTTGCGCGACGTAGTACAAAATATATAAATTAAAATCTACTTACTAAATACATATATCATTGAATTTGATGGGGGTACGAAATTAGATTCAATGATTCAACCGTCAAACTTGTTTGTATATACTTTGAGATCGCATACGCAAAAAATCGCAAAAAAAAACATTCAGAGATCAAGTAACGGGACAAAAAATTTCATCAGTTATAACCAAAAATCACAATTTAATGGTTATTTTAACTTCGATTTTGATGATTTTTTTACAGGTACACTCCTTAAGCCTACGTCACGCAAAGTTGGCAAAAAAAGGGTAAAGTATTCTTTGTTTGGTGCCAAGATCTTGCGCGACACATAAAACGTCGCGCAAAAGGCATTTGCGCGACGGAACTTTGCGCGACTAAGGCTAACGTTGCGCAAAATACCTTTGCGCGGCGCAGGAGCTAATGCGTCGTGTAAAGCTGTTTTGCGCAACGCCACTCTTTGTTGCGCAAAGTTTCGTCGCGCAAAGTCCTTTTGCACGACGTTTTGTGTTTTTGGTCGCGCAAACATACTTTGCGCAACGAAATGTTATGCGTCGCGCAAAATTCGGTCGCGCAAACATGTTCAGCGAACTTCAGGAATCTAAGCTTAGGGACGGCAAGGAAGTTCAGCCAAGTTCAGGTATTTTGTTTTATCTAAGTTAAGGAATTAATTCATCTCTTTTCCAAAAATATTCATCTTCTACATTTTGTCGTCTTATAGCTCTTAGGAAATTTGTGGTGGAGGGTTAAAATTCTGAAACAGCGACCTCTTTGTGCATCTGGTCCGTAATAGTGCACAAAAGAATAGACCAAACATTCCAACTCATTTCATAACCCAAAAAAAAATTCTAAACCGAAACTGTGATCTCCACCACAAAGAATTTGGAATTCTCCATTGTAAAATCTTAATAAAAAGAAGACCCAAAAAAACCTAATACAAATTCCTAAATTTCTTAGTGGGGTTTTACCATAAATTTGTTAATCAAAATCAAATACAAATCGTAACTGAAATGCCAAAATAATTAGAATATCACTAGCCTCTCTGCACGCACTAACGTGCGTGCGAGAGGCATTTTTGCATCACGGGCGCTACGCGCCCCTAAAGGTATATTGTGTTAGTTTTTCCCATTGTAATTGTCAAGATATACTTTAAATGTATTGTGCAAAGAGGAACTTTTTTTTTCATGCACGTCCTAAAAAGTTATCATGTTTTTCGTTTTTACTTTGTGTAAAGTAATGATTTAAATGTTATTCATGCACTTATCAAACAACATACGATTTTAGATGCAAGTTCCTACCTAAAGCCTATGAACAATAGCAAGTATATGTAAATAAAAAAAAAATAGTAGATGAAAACAGTAAGTACTCGTAGCGAAATACAAAACAATTTAAATGTCAAAATATAAATCCTACATAATAATATGTACATTATTCACAATACTCATAGAGTTTATATGTCACTGTTTCTTTTGAAAAGAAAGTTTACATATTGACATCAATGATGCAATTTCCACCCATTTGTTCATGATTGATGCTTCAAATTTTCATTGCCAATCTACAAACGATAGTGAGAAAATTAAAAATCAAATAAAAATAGTTAATTGATAAGTGAGAAATGCATACTGAAAGTATATCGTTAATAAAGCTGTTACCTATTAGGAATCACCATAATTAGCTGGAATGAAGCAAGACTTCTTTGTATACTACATTCCGTGTAAATACACCTTGTTGGCCTACTATGGAGCCACTTTTTACTAACACGGTTGTGATTGACTTTGAGACCCCCTCGATAAAGCCATATATAATTGTCCATGGCTGAAGACATGATCTGGAAGGTAAATGCCTACATGTGGTATTGTCTGACCTTGAGATTTGTTTATAGTGATAAAGAAACTTAGTTTCACTGGAAATTGCTTTCTTGTAAGTTCAAATGGAAGCCCAGCAGTATCAGTACTTTTAAGAGGGATTCTTGGTAAGAAAACTCTGGATCCAGCAAATTGTCCAGTTAGAATTTCAGCATCAATAAGATTTCGGTAAGAACCACGACATAATAATCTTATACCATTACACAATCCCAATTTCGGATCAACATTTCTTAAAAGCATGATTGGCGCACCTCTTTTCAGAGTTAACTTGTGCGGAGGAAAACCACCAAGTGAGATTGAATTCAAGAACTCTGGCTGATACAAATTCCTTGTGTCATCCTCAACTGAATCAAATGAATACATTGTCTCTTCTAAACCCGGAAACATATTGATTATCTTTTCATTCAACATATCAACGTCTTCATTTGTAGGAGTTACCACTGCCCTTTCCACCATGTAGGTTGCATCATTTATATGATCCTCTAAGTCAGGGAAGTTTGGTGAAACATTCAAAATGCCAAGAATGCCCTCACTTTACGAAATGGTGGTGTATTCAGACGCTGAAGCGTTTCAGGTATGCAATGCTTATGCTTTGAGGAAGGGGTTCAGTCTTCGTAAAGGGCATATTCGAAGAGATAAATCAAATAATGTTACGCAACGAGATTTTTTGTGTTCCAAGGAAGGGTTTCCACTATTTAAAGACTCATGCAATGACAACATGGTTGATAAACTAACTACACGAACAGGTTGCAAGGCCTTAATCAGATTTTCAGTAAATCAAGGTGTATGGAAGATTTCACATGTTAATTCAATTCATAATCATGAGCTTGCCAAGCCTGAAGAAAGACAATTTCTAAGATCAGGTAGAAAAATACACGATGCTCATGCTGGGGTCATTAGTTCTATGGTGGATGCAGGTATAAAGCCAGCAGAAGAAGTTGGAGGGGCTGAAAATGTTGGATTCACAAAGAAAGATTGTCAAAATTTTTTGTATAGGAAGAAGTTTGAAACGATGGAAGGAGGAGATGCACAAAGTTTGTTTAATCATTTCAAGGAAAGGCAAGCTAAGGATTCCAAATTTTTCTATTCGATACAAGTGGACCAACTGAATCGGATGACAAATTTTTTTTGGAGAGATGACAGATCAAGGTTAGACTATGATTGCTTTGGAGATGCTTTATGCTTTGATACTACATTTCGAACTAACAAGTACAATTTGATTTGCGCTGTATTTGTTGGAGTTAATCATCATAGGAAGAATGTGCTACTTGGTTGTGCTTTTTTGTTAGACGAAAGCACCGAATCATTTGTTTGGTTATTTAAGACATTCTTAGAGTCGATGGGCAATAAACAACCAAAGACTATTTTCATTGATGAAGATCAAGCAATGGAAAATGCTATTGAGCAAGTGTTTATGGGGACACGTCATCGGTTGTGTACTTGGCACATCGCACATAATGCTACAAAAAATATTTCTAGCCTTTATGCCAATCCTGAGTTCAGAACACATTTCAACAAGGTGTTTGGTGGTTGTCAAAGTGTACCAGAATTTGAAGTTGCATGGGATTCCATGACTAGTAAGTTCAACCTTCAAACTCATCCATGGCTTAATAAGCTATATAACCTTCGTAATAAGTGGTGTCCTGCTTTTAGCTTAGATACTTTCTTTGCAAATATGAAATCCACTCAAAGAGTTGAGAGTACAAATAATGTTTTCCATCAAATGTGTACAAAGACAACAAATATTATTGAGTTTGTGCTTTACTATGAGAAAAAGCTAGAAGACATGCGTTTGATAGAGTTACAAGAAGATTTTCGCTGCAAACAAGGTATGCCTCATCTCAAAGTAATTAGTGGAATTTTATGTCATGCAGCTGAGGTGTACACCAATAAAATATTCAAGTTCTTTGAAATTGAGTACATGAGTTGTTTGACAGTAAGGTTAAGAGAAGTTAGTAATGAAGAAGGTGTTACTATCTATGAAGCAACCGAAGAAGGTCATAAAAGAGTGAACACAATTGAGTTTATCTCTCATACTTCCATGGTTTCCTACTCATGTAAAATGTATGAAGCTAAGGGCATATTGTGTCGTCATGCTTTAAGGGTGTTTGATTCGAAATATCTTACTAGTATACCAACCCAATATGTATTAAAGAGATGGACCAAAACGGTCAAAGAAGGGATGCTTTTGAGTAGTGATTTAGATGATTCATCACCACAAGGAAATCTGAAGTCTGCTCAATCATTACGTCTCAGTCAATTGATGCATAAAGGAAATAGTCTTTTTAGCTTAGCGTCAATGAGTGATTGGGGTGCTCACATTGTTAGTGAAAAATTATCAGAGGCAATGAAGTTGGTTGAAAAGGACATAAAAGCAAAGAAAGCCTCGGATAAGGTTAAAAAGAAAAATAGCCTATCTACTTCCGGTGTTCAAGATGATGATCAACATATATTGGATCCTCCAACAGTGAGAGCTAAAGGGGTAACCAATAAGAGATTGAAAAGTGCTTTGGAAAAATCGAAGAAAGTGGCAAAAGTTAGATATACCTTGAAAATGTCACCACCTAATACTGTAGTTTCTGGTAATACTCATTCAATATGGTACTTTATACTTTTTATTGTGAATAAACTATATTATTATGTAATGAATATATGTACACTTGCAGAGCAACATAATCAAGAGTATATCAATGCTCCATCAAATATGACAACCTTCTATCCATCATTTCATGACTTTTATAATCAGGTTTGTATTGAAACTTATATTTGGAGTTATAAGTCACAATTTGTGTTATCATTCTAACATTTTGTTTATTGATTTAGGTTAATGGCAGTAGACATCTTGGATAACATAACTTTAGCTCTTCAACTTCAAGAATTCTTAGAAAAATGCGCAGATGTTGGAAACATAGAGCTCATGGATTGAAGATGGATGAATTGAAGAGACAATGTGGGATTTTTTTTTCTTTTTATTTATATAGTCTGGTTGCTTGACATTTAGTCAAAATAACTTTTACATTCACCTGGGATATCAAGTTTTTTAATAGCTAATGTTTTGATCAAAGTTTTATTTCAAATAGTATTATCTATAGTTCTTAATTATATTTGGTAGAGAATTACTTTCTTGAAAATAGAAAGTTACTACGATCAAAACAAAGTGAAAGATAACAAATATGAAAAAATTGACTCGATAATCTGGAGTGTGCACAGCAACTATTGTATAAAGAAAGAAAAGAAACTTATGGTTGCTTTCCATGATAAACTTGGAGTGGGTGCATAACCCTTTTTTTTTTTTTTTTTAAAAAGAAAGAAACAAACAAAACTGGGAAAGAAAGAAAGGGCAAGGAGTTGGCAAAACAAAGTGTGGTGGGGGGATTTGGGAAGAAAATAAATAGGGGGAAAGAAATAAAAAAGGAAACATAACATTAATATATATAATATATTAATTAGTTAAAAAAATAATTATAAAAATTTTAAATATAAAAGAATGACAAAAGAATATATTTAAGACTTGCCACGTGGCAAGTTTTAAGTGGATTGTAGTGCCATTTAGCGAAGTCCAGTGGCAAGTCAAGCCCCATACAAGTTTTTCTCCTTAAGATGACAAGTGATTTGGGCCTTGGGGCTTTAGGGTGTGTTTGTTTGGCCTTATTAAGGGCTGGTTTGGTATTGCTGTGCTTTGAAAAAAAAGCTGATTCTACTGTGCTGTGAGAATAAACAGATGTGAAATAAAGCAGCAGAGTGTTTGGTAAACTTTTTTGTAAAAGTGCTTTTGAAAAAAAAAAAAGCAGTATTATAGTGTTTGGTAAACTTTAATGTAAAACAGATGTGAAAAAAGTCAGTTTTTCAAAGTAGGGTTTTGCAGCTTCTTGTTTTTAGTTTTTTTTTTTTTTTTTATCTAAAATTGTGAAAAAAAAAAGCTGAAGCTAAATGTTTACCAAACACAAAAACAGCACTCAGCTTTTTTTGATACCAGTTTTTTTCAGAATTACCTCAGTACCAAACCAGGCCTAAATGGGATTGGACTGGACTAGACTACAGTTCTATGTTTGATAGGTGCTGGGACTAAGTTAAGTGGGACTATAGGAGACTCGTATGGACTAGAGGCCTCCTTAAAGGTTCTTAGCGAGGCCCTCCCCAAACCATGGAATTTGCTAAGACCGACTTCTTCGTCCTCCCTGTGAGCCCCTCTGTGAGTTCTGGGCTTCTTAATTTTAGATTTTGATGGGATTTAATTAAGATCTGCAGACCATCCCTAGCAAGTTGCTTCGCATCGCCATGGTCATCATCCTCTAAAATCTCGAATCTCATATTTCCCACCACTAACAGCAACCACAAAAAATCCCCCATCTCATATTTCCCACCACCAACCATCACCCGCAAAAAATCCTCAATCTCATATTTCCTGCCGCCACCACCGCCATGGACGAGCCATCCGAGAAGCTCTAGAACCTCAAGTCGTTGAATTCTTTGCTGCTCAAGGAAACCAAGGACCGCCAGCAGCAGGTGGAGTCACTGGTGCAGGGCAAGGCAGATTTGGAGTCCGAGTTGAGTTGGTTCCGTCGTGGAGATTGAGCCGATTGCGAGCGAGTTGAGTGAGTAGAGCAAGGAAAATGTTGGGTTAGAGTTGGAGAAGGGTGTTTGTGGTGTTTTTATTCTAACCCAGATGAAGCAAATGATGTGAGATAAAGTTGAGATTGAGAGGACGATGAGTAGAGAGATGGTGAAATTGTGAAGTTAATGAGGGAAGTGGAGAAGCTTGTTGGTGGACTCGAGATGGAGAAGGGAATTGAGAAAGATTATGTGATGAAATTAATAATAAATTAATTTCGACAATAAACTGCAGTATTATTTTCATTAACCTACTTGTTAATCCGACACTGCATTAAACGCTTCACTAAGTTAATCTAGCTTAGTCTAGTCTAAGCCAGTCCAGCTTAGTCCCTGAAGCTAATCTAGTCCGAGACAGTCCAATGCAACAAACGCCGCCTTATAGTTTTGGGTGTCATTCTTCCTTGGGTTAGTCCGCTTAGACCATTAGGGTACATTTGTTACACCAAACTATCTCGAAATGGGCTAACTTCAAGGATTAAGCTGTATTGGCTTAGATTAAACTAAGTTAGACTAACTTAGTAAAACGTTTGGTGCAGTGTCCGTTTAAAAAGTAGGATAACGAAAAACCATCACATTCACCCAAAAGACCAACAAAACAATTCAGAACAAAATCATACTTTTACTATATAAAATTATAAAATTTTCATCTAATAAAGAATGATGTCAGGAGCTACACACGATATGGAGTCATCGGATGAGGTATTATGTTGTGTATACAAAATGTATATATACGTTTTATATGACATACAAACTCAACTCAAGATCTTCTCCCTTCTTCCAGTAACTGGTGGACCGGTGCACTCGAATCTTGCAGGCTCGAGTCTGGACTCTCAATATCTTTTCTTCACATAAGAAGATAGCTTAACCTCGTGGCCACAGATAAGGACACACCAACATTCCTCTCTGCACCCAGCATGTGGAAATACATTTGAGGTGCCCACCCATCTCGCTGGTTTAGGAGAGGGAACGACTGCAAGTAACATATCGAAGCTGTGACAATTCTTATAAGAGCTCCAGCTAAGACATCCTGCCAATGATTCAGTAATCATCCACACGAGAGATTCCCACGAGAGCAGAACATAGTAGTGGAAGAAATACAATGCAGGAGCTTTGCGGAATGGCCTCTATGATTAAACACTTTGATCTTCCCGGACAAATACCATGCAAGAAATCCAAGAACTGCAAATAAAACTGAAGTATTTCAGCACAAGGAATCAAACAACAACATTTTTCTGCATTTATTTACATGACTGAGAGATTAAATGAACAATTATAAAAATCAACACTCAAACTCCAAAGCTCTGCATCTACATCTAAATTCTTTGTCCTTAATACTAGTTTTCTAATCAAAGGCCCTGCATCTGGATCCAGAAAAATTTCGTACTCCTTCTGATAATTATTCTCTAGTTCCAAAGCATTACATCTACATCAAATTGTGGACGTGATAGGAAATAGACAAGAGCACCACATGCTAAGGCAAACAATTCTTTGTCCTTAATACTAATGTTCTAATCAAAATTTGCACCATAATTATCATTTTACTTTCCTCATAGAACACCTAATTATTATTGATATTAATATGAACAACTGTGCAGCCCCTGCACCAGGCTATTGTCATTGCAAAGTACATAGACAAACAATTTGAACGACGCTAATCATCCACCCGACTCGGACCACATGGCCACTACTGATTTATGAAATTCAACCCAAATCAAAAACACCCAAAACCACAAAATTCAAGAAAACTAATATTATCCACAAAATTGACTATCTTTGCTGTAAAAATTCCAAATTTTCACAGTTTTCAAACCCAAAACAACGAATTGATGAAAACCCAGTAATAATTTAATGATCTGGAAAACAAAATCGAAGAAATAAATCGCCTGATTCGAAATTTACCAGACCAGGAGCAGATGATGACGAGCAGGAGATGAGGGCGAACGAGGATGGCGGGGCAGGAAAAGGAGCGAGCAGACGAGGACGTGTGACGACTCTCTTGACAACGGGCTTGGTAACCTTTTGGTATTTGCGGAAACTTCTGCTTAAAATTCTTCAAAATTGTTCGTTGTCAATTTATAGAGCTTTGTGTTTATAATCAGAACCGTTCATATTATAAATCATCCTATAAAGATCACATCTACAAAAAATTAATTAAAATTAAGGTCGTTTAGTCATTAAACTGTTTAAAAACAAATGAACAGAATTGGTAAAAGCATTACGAACCGTCTATGTATTTGCTACAATAGATTGCCTAAACGACCTTAGTTTTAATTTATTTTTTGCAGAGATGATCTTTACAGTATGATTCATAGTATGAATGGTTCTGATAATAAGTACAAAACTTTGTGTTTAAAATACTAAGAGTTTTGAGTAGGAATTCATACTCATCTTTGAGTAGCCAAGTATTATTTGTATTTGCGGATTCTCTCTAAGAACTCCTAGCAAAGGAGATAGTCGGAGCAAGTGAGGGCTAATCTCATTAAACTTAGAGACTTTTAATTAAACACTCTCGGTACTGTTCACTTTTAACGAAAAATCACATTTTTGTCTTTCTCTAGTACTATTTACTACATCTTTATTTGTCTTTTTTCATTAAAACTAAAGTTGTTTTGGACTTTTTATTAGTTTTCCTTGAAACTTAATCCCTTTGCCTAACAAACATATGACTACACTTATAATTAGTGTAGTCTAGTCCAATAAAATTTAGTGAACCCAAACAAGCACTACCTTAGGTTGATATTTTGGTAATGCTCACGTTGTTAAAGGTAGTTTCGTAATTTTAAAATTATAATCAATCCATAAGTGTTGTGGTTGACTTAAGTGTTAGTGAGAGATTGTTAGATATGTATACCTTAAGAGTCAATCATAAAATGCAAATTTAGATAATACAAATTATTAAGGGAATTGTTATTAGCACTTCAAAAATCTCATTCTACACTCCAAGCTTTCTATATTAAGAAAGAAAAATACACTTGCGAGGAGTGTATAATGAGATTTTTGGAGTGTCAATAATACTTTCCATTATTAATATACTAATTTAATCAGAGGCCAAAATCACTATTAATGAAATAGTCTCATTGGTTGTTACAAAAATGTCACTCTTACTACATTTTACATAAATATCCCATTTGTACCATCTCTCTAATAGAGATGGAACCCGCATTTGTTAGTGGGCATTACCTCTATTAGAGAGGTCTTACAAATGCGGTATGAAAAATATGATAAGTATAACATTAACTCTACTTGTTTTATTTATGCCTAAACAGTGAGTCCATTGTAATCTAAAAAAGTCAAATTCAATAGACCTTTTCT